TGAATCTCAATAAACATATTACATAACTCCTCAGCACACACACAAAAGAATAAACACCCACTTCACATATGCACCACTAATATCACAGTGTATCTCAATAAACATATTACACAACTCCTCAGCACACACACAAAAGAATAAACACCCACTTCACATATGTACCACTAATATCACAGTGTATCTCAATAAACATATTACATAACTCCTCAGCACACACACAAAAGAATAAACACCCACTTCACATATGCACCACTAATATCACAGTGAATCTCAATAAACATATTACACAACTCCTCAGCACACACAAAAGAATAAACACCCACTTCCCCCACTCTATCCCGGGTGTGCATCTGGGTACGCGGATAATCTTCACCTCTGCAGATGTGCTGCCCTCCAGCGGCAACTGTTTCTAGCAGCTAACCCCATTGATCTGCGCCACCCTGCGGATCCAACTGCGCTTTTGTTCGTTACTCGCTGTCGGAACAGACTGAGCATGCGCATCGAATGATTCAGCGTCCTCTGCTGTAAACACTGCATTATAGATAGGAAGTTAGACGCACTCAAAGAATGATCGTGTAAGTCGTGGGCTTAATTGGGCAGCCAATCCGTTTCGATCTCCAAACAAAAAACCTCGTCGGAAAACCCAGTCAGTCTGGATTTCGAAGTGTCGTTTTGTACTTTATAAAATATAGCGAAATCCATGACAATTAGATTGTCCTGTTTAATTTTTACCGGTCTATGACTGCGGGCAATACGTTATTTTGCAAGATTGCTCTATCAGCTTAGATATTCACAGGGAATTAATAGCGATAGCTTGGTTTTTAGTTGACAAGTGCGGACAATTGTTAACAAGTGTGGACAATTGTTGACAAGTGTTGACAATTGTTGACAAGTTATATCTACGGTGTCGTTTAGGCATGGATGTAACGAACGGTGAGAGACGGAACATAGCGACTGACTCGTTCGCGGTTGAGTTAGTATACAGTCCGTCGTCGTTACATCTTGTGCGAGGTGACGTCATCACAGGTCCGAAACGCAATACTGCTGAAGATACTGCGCCGACAAATCACTATAAACGTTCGAGCAAAAGTAGCAGGATATGGGCTGGAGTGGATTTAGTCTGGTCAGTGTGAGAAGAGAGCGAGCGTTCGTGGGAACGGGGAGTCGAAGCCATCATCAGCTGAAGCCCTAATGACAGGAAATTTCTTCGCCTGCGCTACTGTTCGCATGGCAACGACAGCGGCTATGCGTCTTCGTCCACTTGTTTCTACATCGCTTGTGGGGGAGGGTGAAAGGGAGATCGATGCACGTGATGCTGCGACGGACGAGCCGCCGACGTCTGCGTCCGGGTTTCACGCAGGTGCATGGCTTCCCTAATCGCGGGATCTCGCGAGAGAGAAAGAAAAAAAACAGCACGAAAACGAGCGAGATGAGAAATTGAGAGTTTTGTGCAAATTTTTGAAGTATAGGAATGTAGGATTTTTTTGTGAATGCGTTTTGCGTCATGCTAGCGTACAATTCGCGGTGAACTTGTGGAGAGTTTGGGCAAAAATAATTCGTTTGCAAAACGCGTGGAATTTCGGTGGGGAAAAATATTTGGGGTTTGACTGTGAGTTGCTATTGCTATCATATTGCTGATGGTTTATTTGGCGCTCGTTTGTCTCTACCGTAGGTGATACTTACAATATTCAGCCCAGCTCCGACCCAGAAGACGTCGACGATGCCGAACGACTTTATGACGTCACCAAGGAGAGCAGCGGAATCATCATCAGAGGTATATAGATGCGATGCGAAATTTCTCACGGAAAGAAAATTTTTCTCCGTTTTTGCGTGTTTTTCGTATTTAAAATCTAGAGCGAAATTGTGCTTCACCACAATACAAATCGAGCGGATGTTTCCTTATGTGTACGTGGGTACGTGCGTGTGTGTGTGTGCGTGCGTTGCTATGGCGATTCCGGCGTTGCTTTCATCTCGCAATCGCTCACATCTTTTTACGAATTCCGATATCGTCGTTGATTTTGTGTAAACGAGCTTCTAATTTATGTTTTCTGTAGACATTGTCGTTGCTCGCACAATCGGGGAGATTGAAATAATGTACGCGGAAGCGCTATCGCTTACTGATTCTTCAATTTATAGTGTTTTCTATTTATCTATCGGCGAAGTAAATCGTTGTTTTTTATCTGGTATACGCAGTGATTCCTGATACACTGAAGAGCAATGGTTTCAGCGTATGGGATCAGGATATCAAGCAAGATAAAGGTAATTAAAACTCTCCTATCCTTCATTCTTCCCCTTCTCTCTCCCCTTCTCATTCTCCCTCTCTTCAAAATAGAAATAATTATAAGCCCATTAAAAATGTATTCTTTTCTAAGCAATACTTCTAATTAATATGCTCGATAAATGGCTAATTAAAATGATAGATCATTTAAGCCATTCTTCTATTACAAAACATTGCATTTTCATGAGCTTATTTCTATTTCTGGTTTAACGCGCATTAGGTGATTTAATAGGTATTAGCGCAGGCACATACTGATCACGGTAATTCTCCTGCTACGTCACTGCTTCCTATTATGGCTATGTCTCAGCCACGCGTGTACGAACCTAGCGCGTACATGTCGCCTGCACAACGACGTCAAGTATTCGTACGTCGTCGCGTGTTCTCTGCCTTCGTGGATTTCGTGTACTTCCTGGACGTGTCTTGGTGACGAGTTGCTGTGGTAAATAAACCGAAATCGTCGGCTGGCCGTTAGATCTCGCTGCAGCTGAAATGCCGTGTCCATCTACGACGCGGCGTGCTGCCGTGTCCATCACACGTCTGATCACGTCTGCGCTATATCCGTGATCAAACATCGGACCGCCCGCAGAATTCCGCCTATATACGGCGTTTACAACGAGCAAGCGAGTTTCGATTAGATAATATCTTTGTGCTATACTATCAATACAGATTATCTCTATACGAAGAAACCGTATTAGAGACAGCATTCACTGAGTTTAAAGAGCGCCCCCCGTACATGTACACATCACGTTGTGCGTTTCGCTGTTGTTTTGTTTGTTAAACGGCGGCGACGTGCCGCGCGGCCGCGTCGATCTGCTCGCGAGCAAAGTCCCTCGGGCGGTTGTGAGTGCACGCGACCGCGTCCGCACTAGTGTCTGTCAGGTCAACCCGCAGCCGCCTCTACAGCAGTAGTAGTAGTAGTAGCAGCAGCAGCAGCAGCAGCAGCTAGGTGTGTTCACGGGTCGTCGCTGTACGTCTGCTGACTGTGAGCGCGTACAGGTGTGCCCCGCGTGTTTGAGGTGGCCGCTGTGAGCATCTGTGTGCACACCGCGACGAGCGAGGAGCGGGTCCGCCATCGTGCGAGGTGCACCCGGCCGTGTGTCAGACGCGCGTGTTTGTGTGTGTGGTAGGTGTGTAGGTGAACGTGTGTGAAGACCGAGGAGTTAATCAATCTACCTATCAATACCTACATCTCTATATTATATACCTATATACATATCTACATCTATATATAAATGTATATATATATATACGTATGTATATAGGCACGTTTACGCCTGACAGCAGTGAGAGTGTTAGTCACCCTGCACGAAGGTTCGTGGATCGCCGCGCGCATGCGCTATCACAGTGTTACATCGCCTACCTTGCATCGATGGGAGTAATCAGTTAGTCAAGGTGACAGGTGGGCTGTAGAGGTGAGCACCGCGGGACGGACAGTGTTAGTGGCATTGACGCAAGTCTAGCAGAGCGCGCGTGTGCGGTCTCTACGAACGTCGGCGACGTACGCACGTACAGCGACGCACGTACAGCGACGCACGTACAGCGACGCACTTGCAGCGACGCACGTACAGCGACGCACGTGCAGCGACGCACGTACAGCGACGCACGTACAGCGACGAACGTACAGCGACGCACGTACAGCGACGCACGTACGAGCGACGCCACGTACAAGCGCACGCACGCTACAGCGACGCACGTTACAGCGACGCCACGTACGCAGCGTACGCCCGACGCGTACAGCGGCGCACGTACAGCGACGCACGTACAGCGACGCACGTAACAGCCGACCACAGTACATCAGACGACGGACCGACGACGTCTGACCACGTATCAGCGACGCACGCATACAAGCCGACGCACGTACATGCGAACGTCACGTACATCGACGCAGTACAGTCGACGCACGTACAGCGGACGCACGTACAGCGCAGCACGCACGTCCCAGGCGAACGAACGCTATCTATCGGCTGCCTTTCTTACCCTTGACGCGCGTGTCTTACATGAACGAACGCGCCGCCGCCACCGCCGCTGCTGCCGTCAAGTGTGTGTGTGTGCCTTAGCGATTACATTTAACGAGAGCGTGTGTGTGTGTGTGTGTGTGTGTGTGTGTGTGTGTGTGTGTGTGTGTGTGTGTCTCGTGCAGAGTCTGATCGTGCTTGAGCGGCCGACGCGCCTAGCGGGACAGTTTCGCAAAAACAATCAATTCTTCCTCGATACCGCCGCGTTCAAATATTGACTCGAACAATTTGCGTCGCGCGGCGAGGTTGCAGCGCGTGTCGCCGTGGCGTCTTGCGCGGCGTGTGAGGAAAACAACCGCAAGGCGAGGAGAGGAGACGTGAGTTCGATCGCTGTGTGTGGAAGGCGGGGAGGCCTCCTAGGCGCCGGACATCCGAGCGAATCCCACGCAGCAGCTCGCACTAGTACTGTACTACACTAGTACATATAGGGCGTGTAAAACTGTGAGAGAAGGGAGAGAGAGAAGAGAGAGGAGAGAAAGAAGGAAACAAACGGAGATACAAAGAAGGCCAGACCGCGAGAGATAGAAAGGGAACGAGAGAGAGAGAAGGACGGGGAAGCACACAGAGAAAGCGAAGCAGAGACAGTGAGGGAGAAACAGACACGCACACACAAACTTGTGAGTGAGATACAAATAGAGACAACGAGAAAGAGTGAGAGAGGGCGAGACAGAGAGTGAGAGAGAAGCGGAGAGCGAAAGAAGCGGCGAGCGAGAGCAAGAAAGAGCCAGGCGGAAAACCCTACATGCCGGAAGCGAGCGAGTTTAACCGAGAGTGAGAGCGAAATAAATCGCCAGACAGAGATAACACGACGCACATAACATAAGTCATTATCAGCGCGCGACTGCGCCTGCGTGCATAATCGCCGGGCGGCACTCCCCCGGCGCCCGGCAGTCTGAGCCGTCCCCCTAATTCCGCGCCGCCGCGCTCCGACGGCACTGCTGCCAACTCGAGCGCTGCACTCGCATCCGTCTGCGAATTACCCAAACGAGTGCAACAGCGACAACTGCATTCGCCGACGTCGAGCCAACCGGAGCAGACTCGCGTGACAGCCGCCGGGGAGCATTCTTGCGTCCCTCCTTCCTCTTCGACTCATCACGCAGCCTCCGACCGCGCTCGCCTCGCATCCTCATCCTCCCGCACATACGCAGGGCTTCAGCGAACAACGCGGCTTCGTTCGTCGCACGCATCCCCTCCCGAGCAACCGGCAGCTGCGTGACGACAGTCGCGAGGAGCTGCGACATGCGAGTTGCCGTTCCCGACCGTCGCCGACTGCGCACGTCGCGCCGCGCAATACGCCACCAGGTGTCGTCACGTACGGAGAGTCAGTGCGAGTCATCTGTTGCTAGCGCGTGAAGGCGCGGTGTCAGCAGCTGCGACCGCTCATCGTGCGCGCGTAAGAGAGAGGGAGAGAGAGTGAGAAAGACAGAGAGAGAGAGAGAAACAGAGGCGTGTAGCTCAGCGACACCATGTTTCACGCTATGTACAGAGACTACAACGATCCGTTTGACACGCTTCTGTACGACAGTGGGTTCGATGCGCTCGTACCAGGTGAGGCTCGCTCGTGACTGTGCGCGCTAACTATTCAATGATATTCGTAGTCTCTGAGGGTATATATATATATTTAAATAGACAAATTTTGTCTTTATTAACTCCTGATATATATATATTATATATAAGCAGGTAGAATTTATTAGTCAGCTGCATCATGTGGGCACTTCATCATGAGCCCGCAGGTGTGTGCGTGCGAGCGCGCGTGCGCACGTGCATGTGTGTGTGTGTGTGTGTGTGTGTGTGTGTGTGTGTGTGTGTGTGTGTTTACGCGTGTTTGCGCGGGGGAGTGGATGCGCGCGTGCATGCGTGCGTGTGTATGTATGGGCCTGGATGTCAATGTGCGTGTGCACGTCGTATGTGTTTACGAATCGGGTATGTTATTGAAAGGCAGGGTGAGAGCATCGACCTAATGTAATTCCACTGTATACACGCCTCTATGGCCGGCGGTTATGATGACATTAGCTGCTAATCATACGCTATACACAGTGCGATTATTCCCCTAGTGCTAGGTAATGGATACCTGCTCGTGAATGCAATAAACCAATCAATGCATCGATTATATTGATTAGCACTCCCGGCAGATAGTCGAGCGACGCTGCCAGACGAAAATAACTCTTTCTGTCACCGCTCCCCCTCTCTCTGTCTCTCTGTCTCTCTATAGCTGTCTCGCTCTCTCTCTCTCTCTCTCTCTCTCTCTCTCTCTCTCTCTCTCTCTCACGCACACACTCTCGCTCTCTTTCTCTCTCTTTCTCTCAGTGTGGTATATATATATATATATATATTATATAATATATATATATATATGTGTGTGTGTGTGTGTGGTGTGTGTGTGTGTGTGTGTGTGTGTGTGTGTGTGTGTGTGTGTGGTCCTCTCTTCGCAAATCTCTCTCTCTCTCTTTCTCTCTCTCTCTTCTCTCATCTCTCTCTCTCTCTCTCTCTCTTTCTCTCTCTCTCTCTCTCGTCTTGTCTCTCTCTCTCTCTCTTCTCTCTCTCTCTCTCTCTTTCCTCGTCTCCTCTCTCTTTATCTCTCTCTCTCTCTCTCTCTCTTTCTCTCTCTCTCTTTCTATCGCTCGCTCTCTCTTTCTCTCCCTCTCTCTTAGTCTGCCTAACTCTTTCTATCTATTTCTATCTATCTCCCTCTCTCTTGCTCTGCTTATCTTTCTCTCTATCTATCTCTGTACCTGCCCATCTCTCTGTACCTGTCTGTCTGTCTGTCTGCCTGTCTGTCTGTCTGTCTGTTTGTTTGTTTGTCTGTCTGTCTGTCTGTCTGTCTGTTTGTTTGTTTGTCTGTCTGTCTGTCTGTCTGTTTGTTTGTTTGTCTGACTGTCTGTCTGTCTGTCTGTCTGTCTGTCTGTCTGTCTTCCTTTCTGTGTGTCTATCTCTCTCTCTCCCTTTCTCTATCATTTTATCGTTCCATATTGTTATCGTTGTGTGTCGAAAGCGTACTGGACACGATCTATATCACGTCCTACTGCTTCTATACGCCGTACAAGTGCTAACGCCTCCCCCATCAGCACGGTGCGACGTACGTGACGCCCCTAGTCGGCACTACGTAGTGTTCGCAAATACACTTATCATCTACGACCACTTGGAATTCAGCAAACACGTCGACGGCATGTGTATCTCATGTACAGCTAGCGTAGGCGCATGCATGGGGTACATTCACGATGGAATACTTATCGCGTTTCAGTTCATCTTTGGTATGAGGAACATTGCATGCGATGTGGTTTATAGTGTCGGTAATAAGGTGCGATGTTATCCCACGGGGTGGAGGTGGCGGGTTGATTTTAACAGCTTCCGAAACGGGCCACGTAATGACGCGATTGCTGGCTACATGTGCAGAATACACTAACATATATACGCTGTAATATGTGCATGGAGTTTGATTAAGAGGTTGTGTTTTCCCTTATCGTGGCGGCTATTGACAACTCAAGATGACATTAGCATTCGCACAATACAGTAAGCGTTGTCGCAGCGCGCAGAGGCTGACGGATGCTCCTACTGAAAGGATTGAATTGAGAAAAAAATATATTTATACGTATAAAATAGAAAGTACATGTGGTTTCCGAGCGTGCGGTGCAATCATAGAAAGTATGAACCATGCAGCGCGGAATGTAATAATGCTGACGACAGCATATATTCACCGGCGAGTGGGTCTCCGTAGAATTGTAATGTGCCTATCGTATAGCATGGCTTTTCCCCTGTAGCGTAGTATACATCCTTCTCTATGTCAACCCCCCCCCCCGCGCTACATTGCGCGTGGGCATGGGCATGTCTGGTAGCGAACGTCATAACTGTGACTCGGGTTTGACGTTCGTTGCTGACGCGCAAGAGGGGGGGGGGGGTTACCATCAAGGGATATATACAGAAGTAGATAATAGGGAATTCCCTATTATCTACTTCTGATATATACCATCAGGAGTGAATAATATTATATCTTTTATTATTCACTTTTGATACCATGCATGCTACACCGACCGTGCACACATCGCCAATAGACAATGCAATCCGCATTATTTTATCTTTAACGAACCAACTAACGAACTAACTAACGAATTTGCCAAAATAAAGACACAACGCGATTGCGCCAAACGGTTGGGCGAATCACAAAGAATTACAAGCAATAATTACATAATTATTATGTGAACTATTTTTTAATCGTGATTATTGAAACGGGGGGATGATTTCCAAGCATATGCAGCTGCTGTTATTTCTCCATCGATCACGTGAGGTTGATGCAATGGAGGTCGGTGGTTGGAATCTCATCACGAAAACTTTCTATTAGCAGTAATGGCGGTTATCCACACAGCTGTGATAGCAGCCCGTTGAAACAATAGAGGATAGACCGAGTATAGGGTCTATTATTATCATTAAATTATCATGCGTTTGTCTCATTAATTATTAATGATCTTCGTCGGTATTCATATGCTGTCATGGCTATGTAATCTTCTCCGGTAGCTTCGTTTTACTGTACATATGGCTCGATCTCAACATTTATTTTCTATATAGCAATATATATATATGCTGTGTGTGTGTGTGAGTGTGTGTGTGTGTGTGGGTGTGTGCGCGTGTGTGCGCGGGTGCGTGCGTGCGTGCGTGCGTGCGTG